ACCCAGTAAATAATTATAAAGCTTGAAATTTTTCTTATTTACCTTTTATATTAAGTGTGATGAAAAAGGAGCTAGGGCCAACATATTTCCACAAGCCACATAATAAAGGGCAAAGAGCCGCATGTGGCTCATGAGCCGGGGTTTGGCCACTCCTGACATATATATATATATATATATATATATATATATATATATATAATATATATATGCACATATCTATACACACACACACACACATATATATATATATATATGTGTGTGCGTGTGTATAGATATGTGCATATATATATATATATATATATATATGTGTATATATATATATATATATATATATGATCGATATGTATATCGATATATATATATATATATATATATATATATATATATATATATATATATACGATCAATATATGCATCGAGCATATATGAATGTACGAGAAAATCATGGAAAATTGTAGTTTAAAAACAGTAAAATCAACCTTGCTAACCGAAACGATGTGTGTGTGTGTGCGTGCGCGCACGCGCCTTAAATTCTTCGGCAACATTCAACATAGAAAAACCACAGTATCCATTATATATATATATATATATATGTGTGTGTGTATGTGTGTGTGTGTGTAATTAATGGATTCTTTCTTCGAGATGATCTCCTGCTATTCCGTTATTGATCGAGCGCTCTAACGAGTTCGGACGATGGTTTTTCCTTCAAAGGGAGATACTGATCCGAACCTTGCCAGAGAGCACATTCGCTTTAGTAAGTATCTGGAATCCACAGGCCGGTATATGTAAATTGTACTGTTTAGGAAAACAGGGAACCTAGTCAATTAATCCACCTCTATATGGACACCATTAGTTGCACAAAGCACATCAAGATGGTACTCAATTTCTTGCCATGCAGGCTGTAGCACAGCCTCATCAATGGTGGCAATGACATCAATGATCTTTTGGTTTCAGATCAGTGATGTCTCGTATCTTTGTTCGATATACGATATTTTTGAAATAACCCCATAGCAAGAAGTCCAGGGGAATATCTGGTGAACGAGGTTGCCAGAGATTTGGGCCATCCCTTCCAATCTACCGGTCTGGAAATGTTTGATTTAGGAACCCACAAACAGGAAGTCCCCAGTATGGTGGTGCACCATCTTGCTGGAAAAATAATAGTTGGGCTTGAAGGTCATCTGGTAGTCGTGCCACATCAATTGCCTTTGTAATATATTTATGAAATTATAAAGAGACTTTATGGATACTCTGTGTGGTATTGATTAAAATCTGAGAGAATGTTAGAATAAGGGGCAAATAAGAAACGTTTATAAATTTAACATGTTTCGTTTTTATTTAAGCTTCATCAGAATTTTTTTGTGAATGAATTATGGAAGATAGAACTCAAAGTAACGGAACTTTCTCTGCATAACCTATTTCCAAAAATATGAAGCTTAGATAAAAACGAAATATTAAATTTATAAACATTTTCTATTTGTTCCTTATCTTATCATATATATATATATATATATATATATAACCTAATGAACCAGGTATTACCTACCTAGGTTTCACCACATGGGATCATCAAGGGATCATCATTTTACTTTATATATATATATATATATATATATACACATATATATAGTGTATTTAGGAAGCAATCCTTCATTTATGCATGTTTCATCAAAAACGAAGTTTTCGACGTCAAGTGACGCTATGATACCTATCCAGACGCCTTACGTTACACCTATCTGACCATAGCACGCACACAAACTTACCAGACTCCATTCGAAATATACTAGTAGAAAACAAACATAATAACATCATTCACCTGTAAAAAAGGTAAAAAATAATGGAAGCCCTAATAATAAAAAAAAACATGCACATAACGCACACACTCAATTAAACTGAAAAAAATAAAATCATCCTTGATAATGGCTATAGCCGAAAGAGGTCGGAACTATAGAACAGTTTCTACACACTCTGTGTCCCAAAAAGAAAGTACTTGTTTGAACACAAGAAAAATTAAATAAAAAGCTTAACCGCCGTACCTTGGCTGTCGTTTTAATGAAACATGCATATATATATATATATATATATATATATATATATATATATATATATATATATATATATATATTGAAATGTTTAACTGTAACTGTAAGTTCTATGCCAACAGTTTCTTCTCTCGCACTTCTCGTTTGTGAAGCTATCTTCTGGTTTCTTGCTTCCCAGCCAACTTCGATCTTTAAAAAATTAAATGTAATGTCAATCGTTATCTTCTCTCTTCTTATTTTCTGTTCTTTTATTGTTTACTCTCCTTAATAGTGATTTTTTCCTTTCTATATTTTCTAGGACTTAGTAACGACTTGCGTCTTAGAGGTTTTATTGTCTTTGTTGGAGTGAGATGATTAAAAAAAGAGCTAAATTTTCTAAGAAAACTGCTAGTGCGAGTAATATATCAATTTGGGACATTACTGACTGTGAAATTGACTTGGCAAGTGTATAATTTTTTAATTTATAATAAAATAAGAAATGTATTAGAAGGATGAGAAAGAAAGATAGAAAGAAAGATAGAAAGAAAGAAAGAAAGAAAGATAGAAATATATTGACTTAGTGTGAGAGAGCTTGAATTGTGAAGAAAGAAAGAAGAAAAGAAAGATATTGCCGTCGTGTGAGAGAGAGCTTGAATGGTGAAGAAAGAAAGATATTGCCTTGATGTGAGAGAACTGAAATGCCGAGGAAAGAAAAGAAAAGAAAGAAAGAAAGAAAGAAAGAGAAAAAAAAGAAAGATATTGTCGTCGTGTGAGCGGGTTTCAATGGTGAAGAAAGAAAGAAAGAGCATCCGTATGAGAGGGAATGAATAGTGAAAAAAGAAATATGTGAGAATGCTTTAGAGTAAAGAAAAAAAAGAAAGAAAGGAAGAAATAAAGAAAGGCATTGCGTTGTGTGAGAGAGAGCTTGAATGGTGAAGAAAGAAATATATTGCCTTAGTCGTTAGTGTGAGAGAACTGAAATGCTGAAGAGAGAAAGAAAGAAAGAATGAATGAAAGAAAGAAAGAAAGAAAGATATTGTTGTGTGAGAGAGTTTGAATGGTGAAGAAAGAAAGAAATAAAGATATTGTCGTTGTATGAGAGGGCTTGAATAATGAAGAAAGAAAGAGCACGCGTATGAGAAAGTGAAGAAAGAAATAAGTGTGTGAGAATACTTTAGAGAGTAAAGAAAGAAAGAATAAAGGGAACATATTTACACACATTAAACAAAGTATCACAGATTTTTTATTAAAATTCTGGAATGAAAATACTGAAACTGAGACGGAGAGGGTCAGATTAAGTAGAAACAACGAAGAAAAAAGAAATTACAAACATTCACAAGAATATAATAATAAAATGAGTAAAAAAAAGAACATAACACAAAATGAAGTGTTAAAGATATGGAGTAGAGAGGTTAGTTTGAACCGGAAAGGAAAAATAGGCTGATTTATACACACCAGCCGAGAGCATAACAACTTTTAACAAGGGTCAATGTGCTTACGTCACACGCCAAAGAAAACCAGGAATAATGGTAGAAATGCACGATATGTTGTTTTTTCCTCTTCACTCAATTCGAAAGTAAATGGGAACGGGTTTAATGTTTGGGTGGACTGGTGTTATAGATGGGTAGGTGAACACCAAAAAACAGGAAAGACAAAAATTGGGAGGAAAAGAGGAAAGAAAAAGCACTAGTCAGCTTATAACAACAACGATGATGACTCCAATATGTTCTGCCTTTTTATTTTTTATTCCTAATATAATGAAGAAAAGAAAAAAGGGTAGAAGAAGAAAAATAGGAAAAGAAAATTTTGAAGAAGAAAAAGAAAAAAATTAAAAGAAGAAATGAAAGATTTTGAAAGAGTAAAGGGTTTTGCTAAAGAAGAAAAAATAAACAGAAGAAAAGAAGAAAAAGAGGAAGAAGAAGAAAAGGAAGAAAAAGAGGAAGAAAAAGAAGAGGAGAAGGACGGAAATCGTGGAAAAAAAAAATTAAAATGTTATACCGAGAAAAGATAATAAAAAGAAAGAAAAATATTAGTTTAAAAATAAGCGAAAATAGTAATAAAGAAAATGGTTGAGTTGAGAAAAAATTGGTAGGAGAAATAATCTAAAATGGTCTGGAGAAGAAAAACATCCTGGAATAAAACAACAGAAAAATGTAAGAAAAAAAGAATAGCATTCGTCTTTACACCAACTGATGGATATTAGATTACGTACTAAAAGAAAAAAAAAGCCCTTTTCATATTATAATAAAGGTCATATAATGTGTGGATCAGGCTTCAGTTGCTTAGTAGGGGTCTTAGCATAACTGGCTCTTTTCTTTTTACTTCATTCGTGTACAATCAGATGAAGAACATTGTAATGCGATCCCCTATTGTAGGCAATAGCAATATGTAAGCATTTTTGTAGATTTGGTTCTATTCGATGTAAAGATGTATTTTTCGTGGGATGTAAAATACGTTAATTTGAAAAAATAATAGTCCGAATTATTTGGTGATTGTTATAATTAAATAAAGCGTTCCTTCAATAAAACTCTTTGCAAGTAAGCCATTTTGGATAAGCATTCACAAATGAAAATTAATTCGAATGCAGAATTTCAGGGCAATAACCAATGCAGGCTGAATGACATTTTATATTAATTTTCATTTAAAAAAAATATAAACTCGTAGTACACATGAAAATTCAAAGGTTTTCCTATTTGAAATTTCTAATGAATTATAATTCTTAAGCTATGATTAAATAATCACCTTGCGAATTCCATGGCAATAAAATATTCGCGGATTTTCCCCTATCATTAAATAATTGAGCTTAAAAACTTTACAAAAAATATTGAAATTTCAATCGTAAGTATCAATAGGGGTCATTATTTAAAGAAGTAAAGGGGTACAGATTAAAATATAAATTGACATGGTTTACCATTTCGCCTGTTTATATCTATGACAGTCTGTTCATATCTATCTATCTATCTATCTATCTATATCAGCCTGTTTATATCTATCTATGTTTGTTCATATCTATCTATCTATCTATCTCTATCTATCTATCTATCTATCTATCTATCTATCTATCTCAGCCTGTTTATATCTATCTATGTTTGTTCATATCTATCTATCTATCTATCTATCTATCTATCTATCTATCTATCTATCTGTCGAGATATCTATCGAGATATTTATCTGGATATCTATATTTGTTTATATCTATCTATGTTTGTTCTATCTATCTATCTATCTATCTATCTATCTATCTATCTATCTGTATCTATCTGTTTATATCTATCTGGATATGTATCCTATTATCTATCTATCTATGTTCTATCTATCTATCTATCTATCTATCTATCTATCTATCTATCTATCTGTCGAGATATCTATCGAGATATCTATCTGGATATCTATATCAGCCTGTTTATATCTATCTATGTTTGTTCATATCTATCTATCTATCTATCTATATCAGCCTGTTTATATCTATCTATCTATCTATCTATCTATCTATCTATCTATCTATCTATCTATCTTCCTTCCTCTAAAACAATGTCTTTGATATGCCTTTCCTGCTTTCCTCACAATCAAAAAGGAATAATTCATTATTTATGAGATATTGCGTAAGGTACGTGCAAATAAAATCAGGATCGAATGAACTTCTTTTGACTAAAAGTGTGATTGATTAATTTGTTTTTTTACGGCTTATCAACCCTTTGCAGGTTATTTTAAAGCCAGAAACTATTTCGTTTGTAAGAATTTTTTTCGAGATAATAATGAGTTACTTATACACGTCATACTAATTAAGCCATAGCTGGGCAGAAGAGATGGATTCATATTTTTCCCCAAGGGTTTTTGCGCGTAAGTGAATTGGAACTCGGTTCTCTGATTTTCAATTCCGAGCCATTACCCATTACACCACCCGCATATCCAAACTTACAGCACTTGGTATTTCCAAGCGGACACCCATCTAGGTACTGACCAGGATCTACGTTGCTTAACTTCAATGATCGTACGGGAACCGGTATTTCAACGTGATGTGGCCTTAAGCACCAGAAGTGTGAATAGGTGAAATTGTTGACAGATCGAAAAAAAAAAAGAAAAGTAGCTACTAAAATGAATTCAAATTTCAGACTCATTTGCTTTTGCAAAACTTGTTTGAATTTTTAATTTCTCTTTCGCTCTTTTCGATTGGTTGTCAGCTGTCAAAATCATGATGACGTCAACAAAGAAGAGTGGGTGGGAAATCTACTCAACCAACCTTAAAATGGTTTGTTCTTGTTAAATATCTATTATCAGCATCGACATTCAGAAGCCGCTTCATTATTTTTGTACGACCCGCTATTGTATAATACTACAGAATTATCTAGTACAGCGATGGGATTTGAGTAGTTGTAAATGCTTGTTTTTTTTTTGTTTTTTTTTCAGAGATTAGTCCAAGACATAGCATCAAGCATTTCAAGAAGGCGTGGCCCGCCCTCTACCCAAGAAACAGCTGCTACCCAACTGTTGACTTCGACTTACTAAGTAAGTAAGAAGAAATATAGAGAATTTATTTATTTACTTGGTCTAATGTTACCGGCCTCTTCAGCTGGACAAGTGGCCTTGTAACCGTTCGAAGTTGAAATGTCCAAAAACCAAACATTTATGGACAATAATTTTTTGCTGACGACTTGAAATCAGAGACGGTAATAAATGCCAATTTGTTTTATTCTAAAATCTGCAGCAATCACCACTTATCTTGGGTCGGAACAAAAGATCGTAGCGTCTTTAAGTGAATTTCAAAGACAGTTTTCAGATATTTGTACATAGGTTTATTCAGTCATATATGCACCATTTTTTTCCACTACTTTTCGCCATCTTTGAGACAGCTTCATGATTCCATCCTCCCAGAACTTAAGTCTTATATAACACGTTGAAACACTGGTTCGCGTACGATCACCAAAGTTAAGCAACGTCAAACCTAGTTGGTGACCGGTTGGGAATACCAGGTTCTGTAATTTTGGATGAGAGGATGGTGTAATGGACTACGGATCGGAATTGAAAATCGGACAGCCGAGTTCTAATTCCAGCCGGTTTTGTTATATTCACTTACAAAAAGATATCACTTTTCTCCCTAGCTATGGATTAATTCACCTCTTCTCTCCCAAGCTATGGGTTAATTAGAAGGATTTTTTTTACAGTAAAGACCCGGAGGCTACTCGAGGTAGAAGGTTACGTCAAGTAGTAGTTTATATGGATAGGAGGGGAAGATAGCGGTTAAATTTCGACTTGAACAAGTTAAGATTGTGGTGATCGAGGAAGCAACCTCTTGGGAGTCTTCCACACTGGTTCGCGGGAAAAAGCTGTTTGAGTGGAACTTACTTCTCAACGATGGAATACGGAGAGAATGTGGGTAGTTTGCTACAATGTAAGTGGCATGGCAGGTCCTAGCCATGAAGGTTAGGCCTGGTGGAACTAAGTGTTATGGTGTGGAATCATAGAAAGATAACACGGACTTGGATATAAGGTTAAATAATATATTCACGGAAACATAGTACAAAGGTAAATGTGGACTGGAGAGTACTTTCTCTCACTGGTGTCCTGACTCACTCATTCACTCACTCGGTGTCTACTACTCGGTGACCCTCACTTGGTGACTCCCTTTACTCAGAGTTGGTAGCCATATTATATAGGTGTGGAAGAGTCCGTTTGTAGGTAGGTCCCCACAATACTAAGGAATGTAGTTCGTCCGAGCACTTTCTATGGAAGTAGTGATAGAGTATTGAGCGTCTCACCACATCCCGCCTGTGAGAGAGAAGTTGAAGGGTGGAAAATAATTCTTCTCCAACAAGGACTTGGAAACGCTTTTGACTTGTATCAATAAATCATTATTACTTCCAAAACATTGTTAAAATTTAAAAAAAACAACAACAAAAAAAAAAAACAATAATATTTGCTGACTTTAAATAACCTGCAAAATGTTGTGAATTGGTTCAGGTTTCCAGAGAATTGAATGACTTCCCATTTCCCATTAAGAGAATTTTGTAGGAATCGAAATAAGTAATAATCCGAAGGTGCAAGGTCAGGTGAGTACGACGAATGCAGCAGGAACTTTTCACTTCAAGGGTTCATAGTCAATTCAATGTACTTATTGAGCAGTATGTTGCTTACAATCTTATATGGACAATAAATTTATAGGAACCTCATGTCACTTGCTGATACAAATTCATGCGTATCAAAAATTTGTT